AGATCATATACACAAAGATAGTTATTTTCAGTGTTCTTATTTGTGTGTATGTGTGTGTGTTTGTGTTCACACCCATGCACATGTATGGGAAGCCCAGAGGAGGGTATCTAGTATCTTTAAGTAACATTCAAATCATTTGGAGGAAACAGTTATTTCAGTGTTCTTATTTGTGTGTGTTTGTGTTCATACCCATGCACATGTATGGGGAGCCCAGAGGAGAGTATCAAGTATCTTTATCACTCATCACCTTATGTTTTTCAAGACAGGGTCTTGCAATGAACCTGAGGCATAGTGCTTCATCTAGACTGGCTGGCCAGTGAGCTACCAGGATCCTGCCTAACTCTGCCTCTCCAGTGCTGTGACTACAGGCTGTAGTTGTAATTTTCTTTGGGTCACCAATCAGCTCCCAAATAAAGATATGGGGACTTAATTATTGTTAATTATGAATGCTCAGCCTTAGCTTAGGCGTGTCCCACTAGCTCTTTTAACTTAATCTAAGTTGTTTCTATTCATCTGTTTTGCCTCAGGGCTTTTTACCTTTCATTCTGTATTTCTGTCCTGCTTCCTCTGTGTCTGGCTGTCTGACCCCTGGAAAATCCCTTTCATCTTTTTCTTTCTCTCCCCAGCCTAAATTCCTCCTCTCACTTACTTTCCCTGCCTACAAGGCTCACCTACAACTCCTCCCTCACTATTGGCTATTCAGCTTTTTATTAGAACAATCAGGTGCCTTAAACAGGCAAAGAAAACAGCAACACATCTTTACATACTTAAATAAATATTTCACAACAGATTTTCTGTGAGTGCCAGGAATCTGAACTCAGGTCCTCTTGCTTTCACAGCAAATGCTGTTACTTACTGAGCCATTTCTGCAACTTGCTTCTTCTTCAAGGGGAACAAAAAGAAAAACTGAAAACAAGTATCTATCAAACAGGAGCTAGTTGATTAAATTATGGTGAGTCGATGTATGGAAAGTTATTCAGCTGTTAAAAGAGAATGAAACTAAGCCTTGCCTACTGCCCAGAAGATTGGACACAATATATTAATATATAAAGATGCATAAACTCATTTTTCTGTCAAAAACTTGAAATAACTGAGTGTAGTGGTACACATCTGTGTGAGTTCAAGGTCTACAAAGTGAGGCTATCTAAAAATAAAAAAAGATAATCTATAAATAAGCCTTAAAAATCACTGTTACAATTGAACACAGGTAAACACATGAATTAGCAGATATGACTGCAACCTGTGTCAGACAAAATTCCCAGGGCTCATGGGGTGTGGCTCCCAAAGTCCCACCCCTAGCTGAGAAGCTACTGGCAATCCATGGTTGTTGGGAGATGTAGAGTAAGATTTCTTGAGGTTACCTGAGAGGGTGTCCATGCTCTGGTAGATGGCCTTACACTTAACACACATGACCACAGCACTAAGTGGGCTCCATTAGTTTAAAAAATAAAAAAAGAGCCAGGCACAGTGGCACAATTTAATTCCAGCACTCAGGAGACAAAGGCAGGTGTATCTCTTTAAGTTCATGGTCAGACTGGTCTACATAGCAAGTTTAAGTAAGGGGCCAAAGCTATAGAGCAGGAAGACCTTGTCAACAAAATAATAATAATAATAATAATAATAATAATATTACACATGAAATTGGGGAGGGTTGTGGTAGGGGAGTACAGAAGGATTCAGATGGGAGGGAGTAGGGAGATTTGATTAAAATTCATTATATTCTTGAAATTATCAAGCAATTGAAAAACTCTCGAAATTCTGCATGGTTTCTTTTGGTTTTCCAGCTTTGTACAGGTTTGTGTGTGCATGGAGGCAAAGGCTACAGGCTGTGTACTCAGATTCCCTCAAGAAAATCAGTTTGCAGGGGGCATGTGGGTAAGATCATTAAGCTGCTTTTAATAGCTGTTCTGTATTCTATATTTGTTCCAATAACATTTAACAATTTTTGGAGAGGCCCCATGCAACTCAGACTGGCCTGAAACTCTCTACGTAGCCAAAAATGACCTTGGACTCCTGAGCCTCCTGCCTCTATACCCCCTGCTCTTGGAACAGAGCTATGTGCCACAACGTCCAGGTTCACACTCATTTTGGAATTGGAAAAAATCTGATAGGCACTTTCTAATTTGTGTGTGTGTGTGTGTGTGTACATGCGAGATGGGGAAGGACCCCACCATGAAGTGCATTTGGAGAGCAGAGAACAAGCTTTTCAGTAGTTCTCCCTTCCACCCCACTGTCGCAGGGCACGTTTCTGCTGTGTACATACATACTCTGGGCTAGCTGCCCAAGGCTTCATGGTGTGTGTAGGGGGTTTCTCTGGTCTCCACCTCTCATTTTGCTGTAAAACTTAGGGTTATCCAGCTTTTTAAAATGTGGGTTCAGAAAAAATGTCAGTTCAGGGGGGTTGAATTTAGGTTACTAGGTTTGCACAAGTGCTGTTACATGTTGAGATGTCTATGTCGCCTGATGGCTTAAATTTTTAAAGGACAATCATGTTGTGGGTAATGGAGCTGAGGAGACAAGGTTGTTTTTTGTTACATCATTTTGTATTTCTCCAAAGAAGTGCATTTTATAAGTGTCGAAAGGCAATCAGTGTATTCAAAAATGCACTTGCTTAACAACAACAAACCCTATCAGTCAGTCAGGCATGGTGATGCACATCTATAATCTAAGCATTTGGGAGGCTGAGGCAAGGGGAATGAGATTTGTTTTTCAAGGCAGGGTTTCTCTGTGTATCCCTGGCTGTCCTGAAACTCTCTGTAGAACAGGCTGGCCTCAAATTCAGAGATCCACTATCTCTGCCTCCCAAGTGCTGGGACTAAAGGTGTGTGCCATCACTGCCCAGTTTGGGATTGAACAGTTTAAGGCTAGTTTGAATTACAGTGCTTTGAAGGCTAATCTGGGTACATAGGAAGACTTTAAGGATGTAGTTCAGTGTTGGAGCTCCCCGTTAACACAAGACCCTGAATTCAAGACAAACAGGGTGGTATGTGTCTGTATTCTCAGTACTTGGAGGGGGGGTTGAGGCAGAATAAGTTCAGTCATCATACTCAGCCTCATACAGTTAGACAGATGATGCCTTAAATTCAATCTCCAGAAAGTGAGGAAGAGTTATTGAACATAAAATAGAACTAATGCTGTGATTAGAAATTAGTTAAGAGATTATGTTGTGGTTTTTAAAATTGGAAGAGAAAAATCACTTTAACAGAGAAGATGGCTGGGCTGATGGGTGTAGACAGTAAAGTATTTGCCTAGCATACATGGAGATGGAGTTCTGGGTTAGATCCACAGCACTGAAAAAAACTGGGAGTGGTGGTCCTTATCTGTAGTTTCAGCACTCAGGAGGTGGAGGCAGGAGAATCAATTCAGTGTCATCCTCAACTAGATAGTGAATGAGTCATACGAGACAGAAAGGGAGAGAGGGAGGAAAAAAGGGAGAGTGACTATAACGTACATATGCTATGTAGACCAGGCTGGCCTTGAATCCAGCCTCCAAATGAGCTTTCATGGCCATCTTAATTTTCATGTGTGTATGTGTGTGGGCTGCAAGGACTGAATTCAGGACCTTACCCATGCTATTTCTGTGCTCTACCGCTAGGAGAAATCCTCAGCCCTAAATTTGCCCTTCATAATTATTTTTTCTGCCAAGAACTATGTTGTAAGACTGCAATCTGGTCGTCAGGAGACAGAGATAGTATGTTAAGTTTGAAGGCAACCTTGGGCCAGTGAAATGGTTCAGTAAATAAAGGTACTTGCTATTAGGCCTGACAACTTGAGTTGATTCCTGGAACCCACAAGGTAGAAAAGAACTTCTGAAAGTTGTCCTCTGATCTCCACATACAATGTGGCATAAAATTGTATTTAAATTGAAGCCAACCTGGGATATATTAAGTCCTTCTCTCAAAACAAAATTTCTGAAGAACTATCAAAATATGCTGCTTGGGAGAAATAGGAAAGGAACCTTCTAACATGTCCCAAACTCCACCTTAGAAGCAATAAAAATCAAGAGTGGACACAAACATGCATGGCCAAAGGGTAACCTTGCATTTATTCATGTGCTAGAGCCAGCAGACAATCTAGGATGGCACAAGGAACCCTTTCTGTATCTTTCCAGGTCCCAGTCAGGGTGGCTAGGGCATGCTCTGTATGAGACAGTGTTTGGGACTCAGAGCAGAGGGTGGGCTCCACATGACTGGCTGCAGACAGGGTTTCCAGTGGGTGGAATTAAACTGCAACATGTATCCCTGCTAAATGGAGTCTGCATTCAGACAGAAACATGAACAATCAATCAAACTGCCTCCTCTTAGAAAGCAGAATGATTTTTCACAAGTCTAGTTCACTGCTATGTAATCTTGGCCAAAGTGTTCAGATACTTCTGTGGCAAACCACATAGCCATATGCCATCTAGAACTCATACGAATGGGCCTTGGTAGCAAGGTATCCTGGTGGCCTTACAGCATCAGCAGGTTACCAGTGCCAAATTATGTTTTCCAATACCAGCAAGACAGGTAAAATGAAAGGGAGCTATATAGGGAAAACCAAGCAAAAGAAAATGTCTTGATTTGTACCCTCAACTGGATCAGATATTTCCATCAGAAATCAGAAAACAATTTTAAACCCAAGTAGGGCTGGGGAGATGGCTGCCAGTAAAGTGCTTGCTATGCATTTATGAGGACAGGAACTCAAATCTCCAAAACCAATGTAAAAGTCATGTGATAACACATGCCTGTAATCACAGCAAGGGGGAGGCAGAGTCAGGAGCACCCCTGGGGTTTTCTGGCAAGCCAGTCTAGCCAAATAAAATCTAAGTAGGAGCTGTGCTTTAAAGCAACAGTGGTTCCTTTGGTGGTGATACGTACTTCAATGAAGGGGTCTCACAGCACACTGGGCTTGTAACAACATGGGGATTATTATGTGTTCCAAGTGTCATTTCTGTGTGCAAGTGTGTGATGTGTGCACAAGTATCCATGTATGCCTTGTCTATAGCCAACACTCCACTAGGGTAACTTAAAACAAAATAGGAATTTATTTACAATAGCAAAGATGTCAAAAATAACAGGAACAATATATAACAAATCCAAGAATTATTTTATGAAAAAGGCAAACAATATATACATGAAACAAAAGATAAAACAAAATCCATAGGGCAAACTTAATTTTGACCTCCTAAAAAGCTGTAAAACGCAGCAAAATGTCCTTTTTAATATGAATTACTTTAGTAACTCTGGGCCAATTAAACACACACACGAACACACAATTTTCAGTCCTTCTCTTTACTTATCAAGTCTTCCTACCTTTGAGGAATGCAACACTGGGGGACTATGTAAGAGTAGGAGGTACAAGCTATTTAGATGTGCACTGAAGGATATACTTAGTGACTGACTGGCTCAGACTTTTACAGAGAGGATAAAGCAAAAGTCTCTGGATTCTAATTTACTCTCACTGTGCCATCTCTAGCTGCTTTTCTGTGAGCTTCTCAACTACACAAAATGTCACACCAAGTAATCTTTAGGTTCTTCAAGTGCTCTAAGATCACGTTCACTAAACTTGAGCATGCAACAGAATCACTGGGAGGGCATCCTAAAACACAGGCTACTGGGGCTCATGCCTTGTTCCAGTCCACTGGGGACTGGCTTAGGACAGAGAATCTGCTTCTTTAACCAAGTCCCAGGAGATTACCATGCTGCCAGGAAATCGATCCTCTTTAAGATGCATTGATCCTGCTTTTCCTTACACAAATCTAATATTTTGCAGGAAATTAATAACGAGATCCCCAGCGACAACAGTGCCGCATATTCTAGTAGAATGGGTGAATCAAGTTTTCCATCAAGTCCTGGTTTTGTCAGACTTATGACTCTGACTGTGATGTCCACCATTCTTTTGGACATTTACCTCAACTTTTGGTTACTCGTTATCTCATCTCTTAGGCCAACACTGATTCTATATTACAGAATGTCATTGGTAAATCAAAGTGCTGTAAATCTCTCTCTTGACTCCTGACTTTTACCCAACTTGCAATTTTCACTACTACAGTGACCATCCTCCAGTATGCTGGGGTCTATTACAAACCTCCAACCTGGTCACAATTGGGTAAACTCAAAGGTAGGGCTTCTGAATAATGATAGTCTCCTCAGACTAAATGTGTTGTGAATTGATAATAAAACAAATTTTAAGTGCTTTCAAAACCCACTTTATGCGCAGGTAATTTATAATAGGATTCAGAGATGCTAATAAATCATTTACAAAGATAAAGAAAAAATGAATTTCAAGGACATGCTCATCAAAGGACTCACCAATCACCTCTTAACTTCTCTGTAATGTTACTTGCAAATTCACAGGACTGAAATATCAGTATTTGCATCCAAGTCACAAAATTCAAAGCAATCAAGCATTTTGCATTCCACTGCTGCATAAAAGGAATTAAGAAATAGGGGGATGAAAATAATCCACTGCTTTTGATGTTTATTAGGTTTACAAAAACTGTACATTGTCTTTCTTAAGAAAAAGCATTAACTTAGTACTGGTATCAAATAGACTGAACATTCGTTAACAGGAAAATATTCTGATTTTTATTTTTGCACGTTATTCTCAAGTACACAATTACAATAATGTCACACATCCCCTATATGATTTTCTTTTTATGTATTTTACTTTTTTTTTTTACAAAGTATACAGAGGGGGGGACATACAATATTTAATAGGATATTTCTACAGAACAATAACTTATATTATGTCCTTGTAAAAATCTGTACCTCTTTAAAACATTTAACTGAAACATCCTTTTTTAGCTTTGCTAATCAAAATTGTTTTAAGAATTAAAACTAGGTTGTAACTAATGTCAGTACATAACAGTGACTACTTCATTTTCTCTTTATACAGACAAACACATTTTATATTCACTTGACCAAACCCTTAAATACCTTTTAAAGGCTTCAATATTGTGCTTTAAAAAGAAAAGAATTGTGTATGGTTCCAGATTATGTAAAGAGAAATATAAAGTGTGTAAAGTGTTGTGTTCCTTATCTCTCAGTTTATTTAAAAAATATGTTAAATGGTCCAATCAATCATATTTCCTGTACTGATTTATAGGCGATTTTTAAACCTTATAAATTTCAATGTTAGGTGTTTTACATTACTTCTGGGGAAAATAATAAAGTAGATTTTAAAAGTTCTCACAAGAAAAGACAGAGCTTTCAAAAATAACAGGGCAATAAATCAAATCATAATTGTGATGCATTTTTTTAAAGCACATTGCGGAGGCTACAAAGGCAAAAGAATTCCCTATTGGATGGAAAGGCTAGGGAATCTACGCCTTGGTTTTGACTGGCACTGAGGATGGAGTTTATACCAGCCTTAAGAACTTGATTTAGAACTATACTAAATCAATCTAGCACTTCAGAGGTTTGCCAAACACCAAATATTCAAGACATCTAACCCCAAAAATATAACTTTTGAATACAAATAGTGATGACTAAGAGAAAGATGAAAGGTAAAAACCTAACGGCACGAAAGGGATGGAGCACCATAATGAGGCAGCAAGGCAGCTATCGAGTGGGAAGAAATTTCTAAGTCTCCCCATGATGTGCCAGACCCGTGTGCCAACAGCCAATTCCAGGGACTCTAGAAACTGCTTTCCAAAAGACATCTTAACATCCAACTTTTTACAAATTTTATCAGCGATCAGACCTGTATGTTACAAATTGCCAGCTCTCAAAAACAAAACTGTGAAAGACTTGGTGAGGATCCAAGTGAAGCCTCAGACTGTTCACATACTTGAACCACACCTCTACCATGTAATCCAAGCCAACCGAGTGTTAAGTTTTTCAGGTTAACAAAGAACTAGCAGAACAGGCTCAATTTGCCAAGTCTAAGTCCTTATTAGCACCCGTTCTCTGGTCCATGGAGCCATCACTCCCTTTCTGTCCCTCTCACTTGGTCAGACAAGAGTTCTCTCGTCAGCTTCTCAGAGAGAACTGAGGGACTCCTGTCTGGATACCCATTAGCTTTTCAGAAAAATATAAAGGCATGGAGTTGAAACTGTATGAAAGCATTGTATCTATAAACATCTTAACCTCTATTTTTTCAATTATTTTTCAATTACCAAAGATATTTAAAAGAAAATACCTTTACTCTTTAAAAATACTAGTGTTCTTATTTTCCTTCTAATTCTTCACCTGAGTAGTCTCTCTGAAGAGCAAGACTTACAAAATGCTTTCTCTTGCATCCCTGGATCTTTCACGTTACGGTAAATTTAATACTTTTCATTATAGATTTTAAGCAACTACTACTGGGGGTTGTGTGTATAAGTATGTAAAATAAGCAATACACACAGATACATGTTACATATATATGTGTATATATAGATAGATATATATATAATTCAGGGTACATTTACATATATAAAGTTGCAAAAGATCCTATGAGCCACAAGTTACCCCTAGGAGATTCCAAAATGCAGTCCTCGGTTAAATTTCATTTGTAGCACACAACCATTCCAAGACAAAGCAGCACAGACAGAATAATCAAAGTACAACAGGATCAAGCAAAAATTTCCAACAAGGTTTTCTAAAAGTTTGCTACACTGACAAAAGATGTAAATAGTCTAAAGAAAAAAAGAAATATATTTTGTTCACTAAAAAGAAAAAAAAAAAAGAAAGCAAACATAAACCCAGCCCCTGTTCTCTTACTCAGCAATGCCAGGGACACGAAAGTTCACATGGAAACTTTCATTGTCATACAGTCTACAAATACTAAGCAAGACAAGTAAATGACTTCCACGTCATGATAATAAGACCTCACTGTAAAAATCTCCCATTCCTATTAGATGACTCTGACAATTTTATTGTGAGAAATTTGTGAGAAAAAAAAATAAGTCAACATGAATACTTTCAGTTACCAATGCAAAATTACCATGAGTTAAATGGTCTTAGAAGAGTACCATCAAGGTAAGCAAGGTAAATGTTTTAAAATAAATATAAAACTTCTAAGATAGAAAACTTCAGTATAGAATCAGGGATTACTTTAGTAAAAGCAACTAACTTGTTGCTGCTTTTTCCCCATGTATTAAACAAACTGAATAGAATTCAGAACACACTACTGAACAAAATGTAAAAAAACAAAAAAAAAGTCAACTAGAAGCAATAATTCTATTTGTACACAGCATAAATCAATATACAGTATTGTATGTGAACAAGACTGATTGGCTTTAAATGAACTTTCTGTTTCAAGGCCAGTTTTTCTACCAACATCTGTGAAGACTAACTACTGTTAGGGCAGGCCAACTTCTTTATGATGTCGCATTATGTGCTGGTTCTTTTCCGACGGTCTTCGGAATCCTTTCTTGCAGTACTCACAGCGGTGAGGATAGTCTTTTGTATGAATGGAGATAACGTGCCGCTTAAAGCCTGAGGCATCTGTAGTGCTATATTCACAGTACTCACACTGATATACTTTCCGGCCACTGTGTGTCTTCATATGCTTTTTAAGCTCACTCTGTTGCCGAAATCCCTTTCTACATCTCTTACACCTAAATGGAAGGTCCTTTGTATGAACTGAGAGAATATGGCGACTTAGTACAAACGGATCTGCAATCTTAAAGTCACAATGTCTACACTGGTGCATTTTTTTACCCTTGTGGGCAGCCACATGCTTCTTGAGTTCTGAAGGCCTGTGAAAGCCTTTATCACACATATCACACTTATGAGGGTAGTCCTTTGTGTGAACTGAAATTATGTGTCGCTTCAAATCACTTGAGTTCGAACTCTTGTGGTCACAATGCAAACACTGGTGTGTTTTGCTCTCTTGATGGATAAGAGCATGTTGTTGCACCTCTTTGGTATCTGAGAAAGTCATAAGACAAATGTCACACTTGAATGGCATCTCTTTACTATGCTTAGTTTTTACATGTGTTTTCAAGTTAGAAGAATCTGCAGACCTGTATTCGCAGTACTGGCATTCATAGGGCTTCTCCCCAGTATGGATTCGCATGTGCTTTTTGAGCTCGGAAGGGTGACGGAAACCTTTGCCACACTCTACACAAATGTGAGGAAAGTTCTTGCTGTGGACTGCCAAAAGGTGGCGATTCAATAAGCCTTGTTCAGCTGTTTCGTATTCACAGAATTTACACTTGTGCATTTTGTTGGCTCCTTTTTCCTTATGCACCATTTTATGAGTAAACAAAGCCCCAGCATGGGAGAAATGCTTTCCACACTCATCACATTCTATGGCCTTCTCTGCCTTGCTGGTCAGCTTGTGGCTCTCCAGGTGATTGTGTAAACTTATCTTCTTGTTGGTAGTGTAGTCACAGTCAGTACAGCGGTACTTCTTCTTGGCAAGATGTTCAGGATGGTTTTTCATGTGTCTTTTCAAGAAACCTCTTGATTTAAACTTCTTCCCACAAATCATGCAAGGGTAGACAGTCAGGGGATGTCCATCTGGGCCAATAATTATTGCTAAGAAAGGAAAGGAGCATAAGTGATCAAAACACGCTGGTTTGGATTTCTTCAAGTCTGAATGTGTGCTTTAAGCGCTACAGGCAGGGACTCCTAATTTGGGCCACATGCCACGCATTTCTCTTGTCATTTTCAATCTAAAAGATACAGCAACTTGGCCCTAAGAACTTGATCTACACTAACCTCTTCCATTTTAATAAAATCCATTAATAAACATGAAATTTCTATTGAAAAGTGATTAGCCCACATCAATTTAGAAACCTAAGGGAATTAAAGTTTTTAAATTAGTATTCCTGCTTTATGAAGAAACATTAACCTATACTAACTTAAATAGAGCTTAAATATACCTGTAAGATCCTTAATAAGCAAACTGGCATAAAAGAAATAAGCTTCATCACACAAACTAAAATAATATCCTGCTCCTCTGTAAATTATGGCCATGTTATGCTTAAATAATCATTCTTTAACTATATTTTTTCTAAAATTAATACTTGCCAACATGGTTGCCTTTCACTTACATATAATTTAAGTTTTAACTTTTTTCATCCTTCTTTGATCCATTTTCCATTACTTTTTAATTAAGAAAATCATTCATGAATATCACTGAATTCTGAAAATTATATTTTAAAATTCAATATACAAAAGTTACATATAGTCTAGCCACTAAGATGCCATCATCACAATACCCCTGTAGATGCACACTAGCATTTCCTGAGAGCTTGCGGAGCACGCTGCACCGTGGAACTCGCACGCCCTCACCTGTTTGGTACTGCCTGGAATCAGGTCTTCTCCTTTTCTTTGGTTTTTGTTTAGCCAGTCTGCCGAGGCCAGCAGACTCATCTATGTGCAAGAGGGCACTTGCTGTGCCATTCCGGTTTTCAATTCCATCAGAATTATTACCTAACAACGTGCATTAAAAAAAAATCATACAGTATTAAAAATTATAAAGAATTAGGAATTCTTTATTAATTACAACAATGAAAAGCCATGATACTCATGAATGACAGAAATAGCCAACTCTAGGTAATGGAATTTTATGCATACATTCATTACAGCAAGACCATTGGAAATGCCCAGCTTCCAAAACTAAAACATGTCAGTATTTCCCCATGGGTACCCATGCTGTCTCCCCAGATTTTAAAGTCATGGGCCTGAAAGAGTTAACATGAAAAGTTCCAGCCTGAAAGCCTGTATACTTCATACAGTATATTTCCTTCTATGTAATATACATATAAAGAAAAAATCTGCTAAGAATCAGGACAAAAAGTAGACTTTATATTCTTCTTCCTACTCTTACTTAAATCAAGTTATCCATATACATACAGTATTAGCACTTCAAATTTCTGAAACCTAAAACCATAAAAAAAAATTGGGGGGGGGGTGCAGTTTGATTTTTTCCCCCTAGACATGGTTTCTGTATAGCCCCTGGCTGTCCTGGAATTCACTCTGTAGACCAGACTGGCCTCAAACTCAGAGATCCACCTGCATCTACATGCACCACTACCTCCTGGCTACAAAAACTATTTTTCAACCACAAATTCATGTCTAAAGAGCTGCTCTATGACTTACCATAAGCAGCTGCCCATGCAATCGGCATGAAGGTTTTCATTTCATTGTCCTCTATCTGTTGTTCATGTACTGCAGCTGCAGCTGCGGCTGCAGCATCCTCCTCCCCAACAATCACTTCCATATAAACTTCGTCGGCAATTTCAGCAACATCTAAATAGAAAATATATGAACTTTTCTGACCAGGTTTAGAGAGATCATAGGAAAGATACTTTTATTTGAACTCAGCTAATATGCAAATGGGGCTAAGTCCAAACATTACATTCCTAGAACACAGCTTTTGTAAAATAAACATTCAACAAACTTACTGAATAATTCGTTTCTTGGTTTTCACCGTAATTTAGTTTTAAAGTAACATTCTAACATATATAATGGGTTAGTACAATTCCCTCAGAACACGCCAACATAAAACAATGCTTTTCTTATTTCCTTCAAATACTGACCATTTGAAGGAGACAGAGATAACACATGGAAACACATTTATTTTCTCCCCCAGAAAGCCCGTCTACTTACTTAAATCTTCATCTTCCTGTTGAGAGTCATTAACAGTCATATAAACCATCTTTTCCCTGGGAACACGAATACTATTGTTTGGATCAAGCAGTTCAACTCCGTGATCATTCTCGGGCTCACTTTCCACAATGTCTACAGTTCCACCTATCAAGGAAAACAGCAGCTCCAAGAATTTATTTTAAAATTTCATTTCTTTTTTTTTCACTTCTTTTTTTTAACATATTTTTTCTTTTTAAAATTCATTTATTTTTTTACATGTGAGTGTTCTGTCTTCATGTATACCTGCAGGCCAGAAGAGGGCATCAGATCTCATTATAGATGGTTGTGAGACACCATGTGGGTGCTGGGAATTGAACTCACTCAGGACCTCTGGAAGAGCAGCAATCTCTCCAGTCCTTAAACATATATTTCTGATACTATGTTAAAATTTCTTGATTCAGAAAAAAAAATCCTATCTTCTCAATCTAAATAACCAAAAACAATTATACTGAAATACTGATCAAGATGTAAAAAATGCAAAGGCTAGCTGGGAAGTGGTGACACATTGACACGCATCTTTAATTCCAACACTTGGGAGGCAGATCTCTTAGAGTTCGAGGCCAGCCTGGTCTACAAATCAAGTTCCAGGACAGCCAGAGCTTTTACACAGAGAAACCGTCTCAAAAAACAAAAACAAAACAAAAAAAAAGATGCTAAGGCTTCCCTCTCACCTAAGTCATCTTCTCCAGGGTCAGCTTTAAAAATGTACACCTTGATGACTTCAGGGCAAGTGCCATCCACTTTACAAGGATCAATTTCAGATTCCGTGTCCATGGTCAGTCCAGATGAACCATCATGTTCTATTTTGCCAGCATCATCCACTAAACAAGGAGAAAAATACATCTCAAGTAATAATTAAAAAGACTCAAACAGAAAGTTACTGTTTTTGAGAGTCCTGTTAACAAACTTTCTCTTTAACTTGATTCTCATAAAACTGGGTGATTTTAACTTAGACAAGTAGAAGGTAAAATAAATACACTTCTACAGACTTTTAAAACTGACAACAGTATTACTCAGAGAAAAATGCCTGTAGCTTAGAAACTATAAGTAAAAAGATATATTTATCTTTTGGTAAACCACAGGTAAAAGGACTCCTACATTTAAAATAACTTTTGAATTTGGGGGGGTGGTTGTTGAGACAGGATTTCTCTGTGTCATAGCCCTGCCTGGCCTCAAACTCAAAGAGATCTACCTGCCTCTGCCTCCAAAGTGCCCAGCCAAACACTACAGTTCTAAAAAGCTCTATAGAAGTCACCAATGTTGTGTATGATTTAAAAATAAAACACAAGGGAAGTGTTGTCAAGCAGTCTAGTTTTGAATAAAGACCAAAAATGTAATTGCTATGTAAGCACCCTTGTACCACACATTTTACTTAGGGGCCTCTCTGCCAACACAGTGTGGTAAAAGTTAATGACAATTTAACAGAGACATCAGATTCATTAATGTTAAGTCTATTAAACATGAAAATGTTCTTTCTGCTCTAAACCCAAATAGTCCTATACAGCCCAGTTTGCTACAGCGGGGGGAGAGGGGGACACGGATGGACACGGGACGGGGGACGACGGACAGGAGATGGGTCCAAGACCTTCAAAAAGAAGTCCCAATGCTCCTAGTAACCCGTTTCTTTTCTCCTAGTGTCCTCCCATATTTATTTGTTTTCCTTCTGGCTAAACACTTATGTTTTAATCACTTCATCAAACAGTGAATTGCAACTGTGTATAATTACTTTAGACACTGGAAGATATCAATATGACATAGTCTCTACTCCAGTGAGAGTGCAGACACGTTATTTTAAATACAGTAACAATAACTGTAACTACCACTTATTGACTAAGTACTATTTAATACATAATCCTATGAAGAAGAGTATAGGACTGTTGACATTTTACAATAGAGCAAATGAAAGTAGAAAGGTTAGTGTTTAGAATTATACAGAATTTAAATCTCAAGCCACACAAGTCTTGGTCCAAGTTTGTTTTAGTGTCTAGAATAGGAGACGGATATTGGCAAAAACTACTACATTACATGAAAAACTAGGATAGTGGGTTTACTTAAAGGCTTTCATTGGTCATCAGAAATTAAATTTACGTATGTATGTTATTACTGCAACCAAGGCTAGATGGTGGTGGTTGTAATCACTTTAATTTTTAAATTCTAGATCATCACTTTTGCAGTTTACAACCAAGACAGAACTCAGATTGTGATTTCAAACGTCCTGTCATATTTTCCATCAGTTTCAAAAACTGCATTTACCCAAGCACAATTCTTACAAAGAACACAGATGGGCCAGTATTTCAAAACCAAAAGTAAAAATCAATAACCGGGCTAATAAGACATGTATGCATGTCAAGAAAAGTACTTGCACCCCTGAGTTTCATCTGTGGAACAAATATTACTGAAGGAAAAGAACTACCCCAAAGTTGTCCTCTGCTTTCCACATGTGTGCCACGGTGTGTACTTGCTTAAACACATACATAGATATACCCATAGCAAAAAGTTTTCAAAAAGGTAAGGATATATTGACAATTTGTCAACCTGATTTCTGACTTATCAAGAATTAAGACCATATGTAGTGAGATATTCACCTTGTCCACACCTGTGGCATAGACCACGCCCATGGGGGGTGGAGACAGGGCCCGTTGAGACTTGGGGGAACTAATGTCTGGGGGGGGGGGATGAAGGCTCTCTTGCTTGCAGCACAGGGACAGGAGTACTTCCAGAGGCATCCTTGGGACCAGGAACCTGCTGGTGTTCGCCTGTCTATGTTGTGAGTTATTTCTCCCTGAATAAACATCTGTTCGGCCTAATTGTTTATCCAGATCCTTATTAAACATCAATATGTGGTTTAAAAAGTTATCCATTTAACCAAGTGGTGGTGGTGGCACATACCTTTAGTCCCATCACTCAGGAGGCAGAAGCAGGAGGCTCTCATTGAGTTCCAGGATAGCCAGGACTACTACACAGAGAAACCCTGCCTCAAAAAAAAAATTTTTTAATCCATTTATTTATTATGTCTTTACTGTGTTTTGCCTGCATGTGTAGCTGTTGGACTCCCTGGAACTGGAGTTATAGACGGTTGTCAACTGCCATGTGGGTGCTAGGAATTGAACCATGGTCTTCTGGAAGAGCAGCCAGCAGCTATTAAATGCTGAGTCATCTCAATTACAAGGATAGAGAAGCTAAGCTCTCTAATGCAACTTTTAATAATAAGTTCAACATGTAAGAGGATTAGTATCGAAAATGATAGTATCTCACTGTACACTAACAGGTTCTATGTAGACAAAGAAAAGATATCTCACTCAGGCTAAAAGAACAAGAAGGGCAGTTACTTCCTTCAGGTAAAGGACAAACTATGGATACAGGTACAGAAGACATAAAGCATAAAGTGTGTCACAAGGCATGGTGTGGAATACAGGCAGCTACCAAACTGAAGTCAAATCATAAAGGGCCTCCTGCGCCTGCCAGAGAAGCTAAGATATGACCCTGGAAAGCTGGAAGTTTTTCAATTGGGTCAGATATCAACTTTTCTTGGGTAACTTGAGGTGGGGGTGAGCCTTTATCAAAGCAGTTCTACATCATCAAAATGTAGGGGATGGGGCCTAGAGAGACTGATTTGGAGGGGCCCTAAAGCCCTAACCCTGAGCAGAGGCATGAGAGCATCTACTGTAAGTGATGGGAGATCGTTAAGCAGTAATGAGCTCATATGCCTGTTGCTGTACCATCTTGTTAGTTTTGAAAAAGTGAATGGGCTGAAATGGATTAGACACAAAGCAGGGAGAACAATTATAAGTCTGCTGTAGCCAAGTAGATGGCAGGTGACAGGTGACAAGGCCTTCAATAAGGACAACAGATAGTAAGAATGAGGAACAGAGCTGGGTTGGACACCTATTTGGGGATGAGCAGAGACTTGGGGATTTGGCTAGTACCCTACTCTGAGACGAATGGAACAAAGGAACCAAGGCAGGGGTCTGATTCTGAGTGGATAAGAATGTAAGAGAAAGGAGGGAAAGGAAGGGTTTTGTTGTTGTTCATTTGTTTTGAGACAAGTCTCACTTTGTAGTCCAGTCTGGGATGGAATTAACATTATAGCCTTGATTTGAGGCATCCCTCCTACCTCTGTCTCAGGCTCAACAACAGTTGCATTAAAGTCTCCGCTAGGCTATGAAGATGGTAGGTAAAGGTGCTTTGCCACCAAGTCTGATGGACCTGGTCACTGGGCTTTAAATGGTAGAAGGAACAAACCAACTCCTGTAAGTGTCCTCATATATTGTGGTACATGTCTCAAGGTACACACACACACACACACACGGGGGGGGGGCAAGGTGGGAAAATTATAATTCCAAAATTAACAAAGTATGTCAACATACTTAGAAGTGAATGGTTAATTACATTAACATCATAATACTTTAAATATTCTCACAAGCTACATAACTGGACCAGTTGTCACCTTCAAATTTCAAACAGAGGGTAGCACCAGAATGATGGTAATCTCACCAGTCTATGTAGAAGAGTCTAGAATGCACGGGGATTATCATGGGAATACTTATTTTTAAACAGTTCAAATGTAATAATGGAGTTGGACTAAACTTGAGCAAAATTTGGCAAACTGATCCTAAGCCAGGCATTGATCTTAGCACTCAGAAAGATGAGTTTACATAATGCAAAACTGTTTCAAAAATCAAAAGCAAAGCAAGGCGGTGGTGGCACTCACCTTTAATCCAAGCACTCAGGAGGCAGAGGCAGGCGAGTCTCTGAGTAAGAGGCCAGCCTGGTTTATAGAGTGAGTGCCAGGCTAGCCAGGACTGTTACACAGAGAAACCCTACCTCAAAAACAAACAAAAAAGTCAAAAGCAAAACAACAACAAATGGGCTGGAAGCTGGGTGGTGGTGGTATATGCCTTTCATCCCTGCACTTGGGAGGCAGAGTCAGGTGGATCTCTATGAAATTGAGCCCAGCGTGGTCTCTAAACCTACACTGAGAAACCCTGTCTCCAAAAAACAACAAACAAACAAATAAAACTGGGCTAGAGAAATGGCCCAGTAGTTAGGAGGAATTGCTCCTAACTACACTCCCAAAAGACAGAAGTTTGATTCAAGTAGCTCACAACTGCCTGTTACTCTAACTCCAAAGGATCCAACAACCTCTTCTAACCAGCTAGAGAACACATGTCACACACACACACACACACACACACACACACACACACACACACACACACACACACACACACCAAGAAACCCAACACCGTTACTAAAAAGTCAAATGTCTTAGTTCCACAGAGCAAGGGCAAGCTTGATGTTTTCACACTAGTCTGTCAATCAGTGCCCTTATAAAACCCTCAACCACTAGAAAAATCTAACCATCTTAGAACATGCGACGTGTCATACATTATAATTCAGTTTTAAAAACCCATTTGCTTTCATAAACATTGGTAAAACACATTTCAAACAGAGACTTCCCTGATAACAGAGCTATTCTATTATTATACAAGGGTAGAATTCACCTTCAGGTTTTCACCTTGAGAACTTGCCTCACCTATTCAACTTGTGAAATTATTCTGAATATAAAATATTACAGATTTTTTAAAAGAACACTCCAATAGTCCTGTTAAGTACTCTGAATCTCACCATAATTTTAAAGCTACTATTAAAAATGCATTTCCAAAAACAGACAAAGCTTCAGTAAATTGAGTCATCATATGTATGGTTCCAGCTAAGTGCCTTCTTCGGCAGTCATGAAGAACTACTACTTTAGAATAAGGCTTATCCAAAATAGAAGTGCATAATTTTTTAAATTAAAATTACTTCTAATAATAACTAC